TTTTAAAAACCCCGCTAAAAATTTCCCCTTAGGCCAGTCCTGCTAGTTGAAATAGCCATGTCTTAAGGGCGCGGCGGAAGGAAGGGAGATCCGGGATCACCCGGATCTCTGGGGGTAGTTCGTTCCAGAGGGTGGGAGCTCCCACCGAGAAGGCCCTCCCCCTGGGAGTCGCCAGCCGGCACTGTCTGGCTGACGGCACTCTGAGGAGACCCACTCTGTGGGAGCGTACCGGCCGATGGGAGGTAATCTGAGGCAGAAGGCGGTCTCGGAGATATCCAGGTCCGATGCCATGGAGCGCTTTGAAGGTGATAACCAACACCTTGAAGCACACCCGGAAAGCCACCGGCAGCCAGTGCAGCTCGCGCAGCAACGGTGTTACATGGGAGCGACAAGTCCCTCCCAACACCGCCCGCGCGGCCGCATTCTGGACCAGCTGGAGCCTCCGAGTGCTCCTCAAGGGAAGCCCCATGTAGAGAGCATTACAGTAGTCCAGGCGGGAGGTGACGAGGGCATGCTCTATTATCATCTTGGTTCCCAAAAAATCCTCCATCAAGGAGCTGAATGACTACAGACCAACTGCTTTGACATCTGTAGTTATGAAGACCTTTGAAAGGTTAGTGCTGGCCCACCTGAAAATCATCATGGAATTGCTGTTAGATTTCTTGCAGCTTGCCTACTGAACAAACAGATCAGCAGACGATGCTGTCAATATGGCCCTGCACTACATCTTACAACATCTCCAATCCTCAAGGACCTATGCATGGGTCCTTTTCGTAGTCTTCAGCTTGGCATTCAATTCCATCATTCCAGAAATTCTTCACTCCAAACTGATTCAGCTAACTGTACCTGTCCATACTTGTAGATGGATTGTTAGCTTTATAACAGATAGGAAGCAACAGGTGAAACTATAGAAAATCACATGGAGCACCCTTTAGATCAGTGGTGGCGAACCTATGGCACGCGTGCCAGAGGCGGCACTCAGAGCCCTCTCTGTGGGCATGCGTGCCGCCACTGCCAGAAGCTTGCGCAGGTCCATTAGGCTGCCGCCCGGAGTGGCAGCCCCACCAAGCACAAAGGAGGCGAAGCAGCCAGCTAGCAAGCTCGAGTAGAAGTGGTAAAGCACGCCCACACCCAGCAAGCCAAAGGCCACCTCCATCGGTGCCATGGCCCCCCAGTCCCAGCTAGGATTGCGTGCCTTCCCCCATCTATGCTGGGCTTCCTGCCCACCGCCCCACCCGCCAGAGATCCCCTGGATCTCCCCCAACCCTGCCCGGCTCCCACAGGCATTCCCCCATGAGCAACATCAAGGTAGTCATGCCCACCCCAGCCATGCCCACCCAGTCTGACGTAACAACCGCAGCCATGCCCACCCAGTGGGCCACGCCCACCCAGTGTGTCATCCCCCCCCCTGAGGACACCACAATGCTAATGCGGCCCTGGCACTTTGTGATAAATAAGAGGGTTTTGGGTTGTGGTTTGGGCACTGGGTCTCTAAAAGGTTCGCCATCACTGCCCTAGATTAACACAGGTGTCCTGCAAGCTGTGTGCTCTCTCCACTGCTCTTCTCTCCCTACACCAATGACTCCATCTCAAAGGACCTCTCTGTTAAAGTAGTGACTTTAATTTAACTATTATGCAACTCCAATCCAGGGGACTATGAGGAACCTATGCAATCAATACACAGGGTTACAAAAAATAGAAAAAAGTCATAGAAACAAAACCTCAATATTCACCTCAGTGCATTTATTCTCTGAAAATAGCATGGTCCTCTGAATGTCATCCAGGATATACACATTTGCATTATGTTTTTTACTTGATTATTCTCATTAATGCTAACTCATGAGTAACACAGGAAGCATGAAATGTAGCAATAGCAAGATAGCAAGATTACTGTTTGTAGAAAAGGAAATTACTTACGCAGATTCTTGAAGCATCTTTTAGACTGAATCATAGCCAAATGTGCTACAGCAGGGGTATCAAACTCGCAACGTCACGTGACGTGTTGCAACATATTGCGACTTTTTTGCCATTGCCGGCAATGGGGTGGGCGCGGTTTCGCTATGATGCATCCCGCCCATGGGCCGGCAGTTTGACACCCTTGTGCTACAGGAAAACTGCGCTAAGTCACAGAATTCTATTTTTGATGTGCGACAGCAAAAGATGGACAGAAATTGTCTTTGCAATGGGCTGGAAACAAATAGAGGACCATGTGATGTGTTGCCACCCTCAAGAAATTGTCTAGTTTTGCCTAGGCCAGGGGTAGGCAACCTTGGCTCTTTTATGACTCGTGGACTTCAACTCTCAGAATTCCTGAGCCTAGGGATTAAGGCATCAGGCTAGAAACCAGGATACTGTGAGTTCTGGTCCCACCTTTGCATGAAAGCCGGCTGTGTGATTTTGAGCCAGTCACTCTCTCTTAGTTGTTGCAGGGAAAATAGGAGAAAAGCACGTTCTCCAAATTGAGTTATTTATAAAAAAAAAACAATAAAGGTGGGAAATAAATAAATAAATAAAATAATGCTCTCTCTGGGGAAATCCCAGTATTCCTTCTTGGAGAAGGCCTGCAAGAGAAAAAGCCTTCATCTTATGACTAAGGATACATCCGATTGTACAAGTCAGGGCCGGTCTTAAGGGCCCACTGAGACCACTGCTGCTCAAACGCCCTTTTTATCCAAACCCAGACCTGAGAGAGACTGAGATTTGAGCGGCAGCGGCTTGAGTTTCTCTGCTCCGTCTCAAAGGAAGAAAATGGAGGCACAGCGCGGGATTGCTCTCAAGAAGATGTGGGTGCACTGCTCACTCGCGTGTGCCGGCCTCATTGAGAGCAATCCCGCTGTGCGCCTCTGCTTATTTTTACTTGGCTGCTGCTGCTCAAACACCTCTTATCCCAGTGGTTCTCAACCTGTGGGTCGGGACCCCATTTGGGGTCGATCGACCATTTCATGGGGGTCGCCAAGCAAGGCTGTCCGCCATTTTTTTTCTCCGCCATTTTTTTCCCCTTTTCCGGCGGGTGCCTTACCTCCCTTGGGCTGGGCCAGCTGGTGGTCGGCCTGCTCCGTCTCTGCCGCTTGCCAGCTATGCCTCGGCCGGCGCAGGGGGCGGAACCACGCATGCGCGGTGCTCCCAGGCAGGGAAAGTCCTCGAATTATGACCGGTTTAGTTCTCGACTTATGACCGGTTTAGTCCTCGACTTACGACCGGTTGGGGTCGCGGCATTAAAAAGGTTGAGAACCACTGTCTTATCCGAATGGAGATCTTTGGGACATGAGGAGCTCCATCTGAGTGTGAATGAAACGCTTGAAAATGCAGCGATTTGCTACGTTTTTAAGGCTCCCATGGACGCTCAAACACCTTTTATTCCAACAGAGATCTTGGGGAAATGGGGAGCTCCATCTGAATGTGAATGTAACGCTTGAAAATGCAGCGAATTTGCTTCGTTCTGAACCGCCCCATTTGTTCAGAGGGAGAATCCAGTTTCCCCAAGGTCTCCCTTCGGATAAGAAGTTTATTAGCAGCAGGAGCTTGGGTTTCTCGGCTCCATCTGAGTGGAGGAAAGCAGAGGCACAGCAGGATTGCTCTCAATAAGGCCGGCGCACAAAAGCAAGCAGTGCATCTGGGTCTCATTGTTTGAGAGCAATCTTGCTGCTGCGCCTCCGCTTTCCTCCACTCAGATGGAACCGAGAAACCCAAGCTCCTGCCACTGGTTGAGTGAGGAGGAGAAGAGCGGTAAGGATTTGTGCCAGCCGGGTGGCCAGGAAAGGACTAGGTCAGGCGGGGTGGGTGGCTGGCTGGCTGGTGAGGGGGATCATGGCTGCTCAGGTGGTTGCCACCGCCAGCTTGGATGCGGGTGCAAGGGACCTGGCCCCACAATGCCCCCCCACTCATTTGAAGGCTTCGTTCCTGCCCTCAAACTAAGTCCGGTGCACGCAAGCGAACAGCTCAGCCGGGCCACTGACAGTATTGGTTCCTGCGCGTGGCCGACTCTGATTCCACGCTTTGCCCCATAGGCATGCAAACGCTTCTCCCCCCGCCGAGAATGGAAGCTTCCAGGGCCATGATCTCTTTTGCAAAGAATGGGTGTTTGAACTCGTGTGATATTACGGCACCCGGGAGCTCCCATTGTCAGCACGAAAAGCATTTGCAAGCTCTTCTCCTCTCCCTCAAAGGAAAGAAACCGCGGCAGAGGAGACAGATTTTGCAAGGTAAGGGACTCTGGCACGGCAGGAAGGGAGGAAGAAGCAGTTGTGAGGAGTGGGGAAGGGAGTAGGGTGAATATTGTACTGCAGAGCCTCTGCAGTCACTCGTAAGGGCAAACAACTACTGTGGTGCTGTAATAGTCGTAATTTCAGGAATTGCTCGTAAGCACTAGGGGGCGCTGATCACGTAACTTTGAACGAGCGTTAAGTGAATGCTCGTAACTCGGGGATTACCTGCACTTTGAACAAAGCTCACTTATAACCATGCTGCCCCTAAGATATCAAGATCGTAACAGACAATAAAGATCATTTATGTTATTATAGGAAGGTTTTTTTAGTGAAGGATATGGTGGAACTGCACTGTGATGAAAAGTCTGCAACCTAAAAATAAAGTCTTGGTCACCCTAACTTTTGAAATCAGTTGAGCGCCAGAATTTTGGAACCGACTGTCACCTTGAAAGATGGTCAGTGTGGCAGAAAACTTTGTAGATAAAGTTAATCCTTGACTTATGACCACAGTTGAGCCCCATATGATCATTGCTAAGCAAGACAGTTGAGCTTTGCCCCATTTTACAACCTTTCTTGCCACAGTTGTTAAGTGAATCACTGCAGTTATTAAGTTAATAACATGGTTGTTAATGAATCTGGCTTCCCCATTGCTCGTCAGGTCGCAAAAGGTGATCACATGACCCCAACAGACCGGGACACTGCAACCATCATAAATATAGACCAGTTTGCAAGCATCTGAATTTTGATCACGTGACCATGGGGATGCAGCAATGGTCACAAATGTGAAAAACAGTCATAAATCAGCTTTTTCACTGCTGCTGTAATCTTGAACTGCCACTAAATAAATGGTTGTAAGTGGAGGACTACTTGTATGGAGGTGGGGAGCGAGTAAAAGAGAGTAAACACTGGAGTCTCCAAAGATGTAAAGGATTCATTGACACTTATTCTTCTTAGTCTCCTAAACTTTTAAGGATAGGGGTCGACAACACAAACATAACTTGGAGCCTCAGCAGTCCAAACTAAAATTTAAAATAATGTTCAAGATGAGATGTCTAACCAAGAAGCTAAACTGATCTGGCTGCAGCACTTTGAGCTGGGGAGCTGAAATCCACAACTCTTAAAAGTTGCCAAAGTTTGATAACCTTTCCCTTTGAGTAAGGCTTTCCAATATGAAGGACCAGCCCTTTTCTCTGCCTGGGCAAGGAACTGAGTCCCAGCCAGGTAGCACAAAAGGATGGGGGAGTTTGTTTATAGTGGCCTGATAAGGGTAATCTGCTTTCTATGAAGTCTTCTCTTCATCCTCCTCTGGGATCTGCTGTCTCCCTCAACTTTCTGCTCCAACCCTGCCGCCTTGCACTTGCTCCTTCTTCAGATCAGCCTTTATGTTGATACCCTGATGCTGTGGTTGACTTGTGGGGAGGCTGGTATTTTCTCTTCACCACAATGAGATCGGGGCAAAGGGGCCACAGTTGAAAAGGCCGCTATTTCTTCGTGGCCTTCAGCCTTTTTTTCAAAAGACAATCTCGGTTCCGTTGAGCCCAGTTCTTTGATACCTTGCCTTTCAACAGGCTGTTTCTCAAAGGCTGAGCAAGGAAATGATCACTCTCATTTCGGGATATCCCTCCTCTTATCCCAAGAGATCAGACTGTTATTTCCAATAAAGCGGAAGCGCTACCAACTTTTTCTCCCAATAGCTTTCTCTCCCCATGGCTCACGCGTGAGCCCAGAATATGATACACACACTCATCCCTGCTGCTGTCCACTTTTGATTCTGAACAATTTTTTTAAAAAAATGATCTAATTATCTAATTATTAGCAACAAAGATGATTAGGGGATTGTAGGCTAAAACAAATAGAGGGCAGCTGCTGGAATTGGGTATGTCTAGTTTAATGAAGAGAAGGACTAGGGGTGACATGATAGCAGTGTTTTCAATATCTCAGGGGTTAATAATAATAATAATAATAATAATAATAATAATAAAGTTGGAAGGGACCTTGGAGGTCATCGAGTCCAACCCCCTGCTCAGGCAGGAACCCTACACCATTTCAGACAAATGGCTGTCCAGTCTCTTCTTAAAAACTTCCAGTGTTGGAGCATTCACCGCTTCTGGAGGCAGGTTGTTCCATTGGTTAATTGTTCTAAC